GAAATTCAGTCCTGTGTTCTCTGCTGCTTAAGGTGCAGAGCACAATCCATGATAACAGCCTTTAGTCTCCATCGTCCCTTGAACATCCCTTGAGCTCAACAAGATTTAAATCTGGAACACATGCTCTGTGCATGTGCCTCTCAAACAAACAAAACAAGCTGAAGTATTTCCAGTTAGCAATTTCATTTATTTCTTTCTTTAAATCAGCGTTTCTTCTCCCTGATTTTAGAGATTTCCAAGTACTTTTTAGAAGCTTGAATGACATCTTGAGTGCAAAGACAAACTGAGACTCAAAGATTGCTTGCTGTATGCTTTTTCTCTTTTTGTGCAATGTTTTATAATATAAACATCAATTTAAATACTTTTTAAAGTGAAGAAATATTTCAAAGTATTTATAAATTTAGATGCACCAGGCTGTGTTGAAGATCTTCAGAAAAGATCTTTAGCCAAATTTCCTTTTTCAGGAGAAATGACTCAGGGGATCTGTCAGCTCCTCCAATGTTTGCTGCTGGCTTCTCACTATGAAGAACAAACTATTGTACTTCCAGATTTTCCATGCCCAACTTTTCATTGAGGAACTCTCGACTCCTGCTTGCTCTGTTCAGTGAAAGCTAAAGAATGCTTTCCTTGTGGAGCAACTCTCCTTGCTTCTGCTTTGGCAGAGGATCTACTCTTAAAGGTCATCAATGCATAATGAAACAGATTCACTTGTACATGTCACACATGTATGAAACGTTTCAAAGTAAAAACCACTGCAGACATAGAGAGTATAAAATAGTCTAGTTATTGCTCTGCATGTCACTTTTAATTTCTGAGATGTCTTCTGACCTTACAGAACAAGTTGCTATCCATCTTTTAAAGTGAAAAGAAGGCAGAACAATTGATTTCATTTGTTGACCGCATTTGTACACATTTTTGATGAGCAGTGCTGGGCAAACAGCAAAAACATGACTGAAATTTACAAGGGATTAGACTTGTGTCTGCCTGTATCACTTTCACACCCATTTTCCATAAGTCTCTAAGCAGATGAAAATAATAGAAACGTGCTGCTGAATATTCAGATTGCATACTTACACAGCTGCACTCTGTTTCTTACTTCCATTATTGTAGCTCAGGACATTCAGCACAGCAAACTCAGGAATGTAACACATATACACAGTTCTTTAAAATTAATTTGAGCAGCAATAGGGGAGCAGTAGCCTGCCTTCTTGGGTTATGATGACTTCTACCCCTTAAATCAAATATCTTGGCTAACAGTATTAATATCAAGTATATTTAGAGTGGCTGCAGAGAGATCACTGGCAATAAGAATACCATGTGACTGTAGATAGTGTTGACAGTAAGTACCTACCAGAGCAATGAAATTCTGCTGTCCCACCATTTAGCTCTCCACCAAGCAGCACCTACTGTCTTACAGCTGTAAAGATGATGTGCTTGTACAAAAGAACTGAAATGATCCTTGCATCTTTCAACCTACGCTTGCAGTCATGTTGCCACTGTTACAGTCAACCTTTAATTTGAGAAAAACAGTTCTTTTCTGGAAAAGCACAGCAACACACAATTTCTTCACCCATTACTTCAGGCTGTAAATCCAGAAGAGAAAAATGCAATCATAATGCACTGTATATCTTTATTTAGGCTTTCAGTTGCACTAGAAACTCTAAAAGCAATATCTGTAAGAGAGAGCCACTAGTGAACGACAGAACTGACAAACATCCCAGCTCAGTAAAAGAACTCTGAAAACCTGTACTGTACTTGCAGTCCCATTAGTAGCAACTTTGAGATATCCTGAGCAAAATTATTCCATGTCAAGAGACGTAACTGATCTGCTATTGAAGCAAATTCATATATCATACATTATTATTATGCAATAATATTTTCCTGCAGATTTTTACTGTATTTCTTTTTAACACTGTTAAAATCATCTGCACCTCTGCAGGATGTACCATGTTTCTGCTTACTCTCTTAAAGAAGCAGTGGGAACACTGGACTACAATTCCTGGTTCATCCTCTGTTATGTTTTAGGGCCAGCCAACACTACTCGAGTAGATGACTCAGTGACTGGTATCCTGAAACAAAACAGTTAACAAGCTAATGTGACATTTCCAGCTTGCCCAGGTTAGCACAACTACTAGTTAACCTCTGCTAGTTCATGTTATTTAAGCATTTACAGAAGCTGGACAAAGATTTTGACCCATTTACATATATATTCAGCTATTCAGAATATAATCTTTCATTTAAGTTTAACCATTTAGCTTATTGCTGAGAATTTCTACCTGGAAAATGACAAAAACCAAATATATCCCAATGGTGATTCACCCCATCTTAAAAACACCAGGTAACACAAATTAAGTCTTTTATTCTTTAAACATACTTTCTTCACAGAGAAGAACAGAAAAACAGCATTGTCTAGAAGAATAACTCCCACAAAACTGGAGTCAGATGAGATACGTACTATCCTCTGTAAGTGAAAGTCATGATGGAAGAACGTGGAAGAACAATCACTGAATATACTCAGTGCACTTTAAAGGAGAGTGAATATTGTTTGGATTCATCTAGCGCTGATGATTCATTCAGAAAATAAAAATGCTTGCCAATGAAACTCTGAAAGTTAGAACAACAAATACATTCAGAGGTACTGTAAGCATTCTGTGGATATTCCAGGGTGAAAAAGAAAAACTGAAGAAAGACAATGAATGCCTTGAAGTAAATTGTTGCCTAAATAATTCATTCAGATCTAGCAGTGACACATTCATTTCTTAGTTGTTGCAACACTGTGAAAAAATTTACCTTGACCTGAAGTGCTCCAGGTCTGAAACCATGAACTGATTTATGGTTTATATGATATTTCACTTTTATGATTGGCAGAAAGATACCATTTGACAGAAGGATGCCTGTATTTTAAAAGCAGCTGTGGGAAAATGCATGCAAAGGAATAAGCAAAGGAAGTAAGGCTTTTCAAAAGTGAATCTAGAAGCTAGATTACAAAAGTTACTACCATTTCAATCTCAGTCTATATGGTGTAAGTTCAATCAAATTAGCACTTTTATCATCAGGCAGATCTTGGATTCTCATCATAGATTAAAAAAAAAAATCTCAGATGAAATGTCTGAAGTCAGCAATTATTTCTTCTATAGTTCGAGTGGCTGACGAACTTCACCTCACACACCTCAGCAGGTAGCTGGCTACCGTCATCCAATAACAAATTTTACTCTCTCATTTCTGGCATCCTTCATTACTCATTTATTGAACCCACCTGCTGCTAGGCATATAGCCCGACTGCCTCAGCTTTTTACACAAGTGAAAAAAGATGTGCTGCCCAGCTCTCAGACATATGGTCTGATTTTGGGGTGGTCCTGTTTGAAGCCAGGAGTTGGAGTCTATGATGCTTTTGAGTCCCTTATTCTATTCTATTATTCTATGATTATTACAAAACATGCTTTAGCATTAAGACAAAGTCTGCTTACTATTCTTATCACTGCTATACAGTAACTCCTACTTTTTGTGCTGAGAAACGAGAGCTCTAACTAGTGAATATTTAGGTACAGTGTACACTCCACCATTAGAAAGCATACTGGAAGATAATATCACTTCTTGAAAAGGATGCAGACTAATTGTGGAAAAACAAAGCAATTCATGACAGTAACAAAGACCCTTAATTAGCTTTCTGCTAAATACTTAACTAGTTTCCAGCTGTTCAAAAAGTCTGACTTCTAAAGTCAGGTCATAAGAAAGACACATACCCAATGCAATTCAGTTACAAGATTCCAGGTGAAATTTTAGTCTCCTTAGTGCTAAAGACTGCTTTTCACAGAGTTCCAATCCTAAAACACGAGTTTCAGGTTTCAGAAAGAAATTCTGACAACTATTTATTGAAAAATAACTGGGAAAGCTGATGTGATCTGGAGCATATAGTAGATAGAATCATCGGACTTAGCAGCTGCATCACATGAAGTGCATAAGTTGCTGAAAAGAAATTTCCAGAGACCAAACTAACTTCTTACTGATCCAAAGCTATCTTAACAAAACACAAAGAACACGCCCTCACAAAGCCCACAGCTGTGTAAAAGAGTACTTGGGAAAATGTATGTGGATTCAAACCTTCTAATTCTTATAAGTGACCGCCACAGAGAGTATCTCAACCTACATTAGTGAATCCGACGCTAGGAGCACAAATACCTCATCATGTAAACATACCACACAAGTCTGAGAATCTCTGAGGAGAAACTGTTCAGAAGAATTTGAATAGCCACAATTGTTATAAGCTTTACACTCTCAAACAGAAATATATTTGTATCCTTCTAAACGCTTCTAATGCTTTTAGCATGGAACGATCTTTCTTTTACCTGCTTACAAATCTGATCTTAGTCTTGGTTTAGATCAGCAGGATTGCAATCAGCAGCAGAACTTACTAAATCTTATGTTCTTTAAAAACTGTAATGCAGTGAGGTAGAAGACTGACAGAAAGCATTACTGCAATGCAAATACAAATAACATCTGATTTCAAAGGCAGGCACGCATTTTCAACAGTAGCAAACAGGGCTGTAATCCATTTCCCCTCTGCAAGCTTGAAAAATAGGTAATATTTAATAAATCATGGCTGTGCACCTTCTCACATTCCTATTCACTGCATGACTACCTAAAATATAGCACCACTGTTAGTCTTATTTAAAACTGTTAGCTACTGTCTTAGGGCCTACAGAAACAATATCGACTCCATTTTATGAGCATGTCTTGGTTTTTTTTTCTTTACAGTGGAATATTTTTTGGTAATTCCTTGCAGTCACTTTTACCTTGCATTACTTACACCATGGCCCCTGGGTTAACATACAGATAATAAAGTGTTCTGATAATTAATAAACTAAAACACATATCTTCAAGTTAAATTGCACACATCACATTTTTATAGCAATCTTTTAATAAAGCCTAGGGAGAAAACATTTACACGAGTGAAGACCTAGTTGCAACAAAACAAAAAACTAAAAAGTAGAAATTCTTACCCTAAAAAACTCTTTAGTGGAGCCAGAATCTAATGTCCCATATGCAATTTCTGTTTGCTTGGAAAGATCCTCTGCACTTTCAATGGGAGACACCATCCTCTCAACCGTCAGGAAGGCAGCTAAGTTAGCCGTGTAGGATGAGATTATGATGAGGGTAAAGAACCACCACACACCTCCAACAATGCGCCCAGACAGGGATCTAATAACAAGTATGAAATGGATTTGTAAAGTGAAATGAAAGTCCTAAAAAGGAACGCATGTTATCAGTTTTATGCAAATGATGCATTATGCTACTGGGAGGCATTTCAAGTCATTCTGCAGTGCAGCTGTACATGCTAATAGCACGGGGCGACCATCGCACGCTCCACTACATCGCCTGGACCCTGCTGGAATCAGAACTCCAGAGTCTACTTAAGGAGAATTTAGAGACCCACTTCTTTAGTGTTCTGAGTGCCCTGAAATGAGACTGCTCATCTCAAATTGCTACATTAACACACAAGCTTATCGTTCCCCCCGATGTGACACAAAAAGAATCAAACAAAACCAGTAAAACAGACCTTTCACATAAATCAGTATGCGCTTAAAAATTAAGTCTCTTCAGACTGCTTGTTTCTGTGAGACATTCAAAGACTTATTTTTTACAAAACAACGGCTTATGCTGCTACAGCCTACCTACACTAAGAAACAAATAGCATTATTTGCAATAAAAACTGGCCCAGGGAATATCCATAAACCAAGAAGTGCACACAACTTTTGAAAGATACAAACATTTAACATGCTGAGGACTAGACGTGACACAGGCAAACTGATAATACAGATAAAACAGCAAAGAAAGTGTATTTTTTAAACAATGGTAAACTGATGTTTCTAACTGTAGCAGGCTGGCTCTTATGGATCTTTGTTTTGCATCTCCTGCTCAAGAAGAAAGAAGAAAAGAGAACTCAAGAAAATATACAGAACAGTATAGTGAACACAACTAGAGGAATTCACCAGCTTTCAGTACTAAAACATTGATAGGATTATTGATACTGCCCTCATTGTCAAACTTATTTCTTAACAAGCTTTTAAAGTTCGAAATTACTTACTATTTTGTTTCCAAACAAGACATTAAAGGAAGGAAGTAGTACAGAATCTTTGGAGATGTACTTAGTTATTTGGCAGAAATGTGCATAGAGTTGAAAGCCTAGTGCTAGACACTGCAGTAGGTTAGGTATGTCATGTTGTGTCTCCTCTATCTATTAAGTAAACAAATCACAAATCACTCACCTGGCCTGTAGTACTGTGAATGAGATGTCAAATTAACTCTGACAGAATATATATATATATATATAGGCCTATTTATATTTCTACATATACTTTTTGAAAGCGTTCTTTGATTTTAAACACAACAATCACGTAAAGCTGATTTATTAAACTGGGAAGAAAAATAGATTGAAACAATTCTGGACAAATAATTTAGAAAAGATTTCTGATAACTGAGACATGAAAAATCATAGAATCATTAACGCTGGAAAAAGCCTCAAAAATTATCTTTCCCAATGCTCCACCTACCGCAAACTCACTGATCCACTCCAAAACATGAAAATCAAGTTAGATATGGTCCAGTATACATTATTAAAAAGGACCACAGAAAAGAAGTTATTTCATGCTCCTTCTAAAATGAAATATATTCATTTAGATGTTTTCTGTCACTTCTGACAACATAATGATTCTAGAATTGAAAGATTAAATTCCATGATAAATATCTATTTGCAGGGTAAAAATCTATGACTGTGTACTTACTGTTTATTTTATCCTATCTTATACTGTACTGATAACGTCCACTGTAAAGGATAATTCATCAGATTCAAAAGCCAGGATCTGTCAGCAAAGAACTGTTACTGACCTTGTAAAACAAGGATAAGATCAGTCCAGAAATTATGCTCCCACATTACTTTTTTGTAAGTAAAATTTTTAGGCTGGTCATTTGTATTCAAAATTTTCCCATCTGTCTGTTCCAGTTAAACAAAGCTTTCATTTTTTAACGTGTATTTTTGAAGAATTCTGAATTTGACAATGATGTGGTAGCCTGAACTCACACGTGTGTAAACACCCCATATGTCAGGTCAGTAACATCTAGTCTTAATGTCAGAACTAAAATTATTGAGGTGTATGCAGCCCTTTCATGTTTTTACAATAAACAGATATACAAACTAAACACCTTTCTCAAAACAGTTAGCAATGAAATAAGGTGTTCTTGAACACTTCAGTGGCACTAAATCAGCCATGTCAATCTCCTTATTAACTTCAGATTCATGCATCTTTATGATGGCCACTTACCATATTGTCACATCATCTTTACAACGTTATCAAACTTTGCACAACTGTTAGGCTGTAATAGCCAGGAGCATTGAAAAAAAATGTCATTTTACTATGGTCATGATTCAGTAGCAATAATTATATAGCTAACAACTAAACTTGTGAAGTATATAATCACTATAAAAACCCAAAGAACTGAAATTAAGACAGCTTCTCATGACCCGAAGTTGTTCTCTCTTCATTGTCTCATCTCTTGCACACAATTCTTGCCATGCTGCATGACAAATCCATCACGTCTTTCATCACAAAGGCTGCTATACTTCTCTGAATAAGTTAAATAAAACTGCTAAATATCTCACACAGAAAGTGCTCTGTTATTTCTGCAGAACTTGAAAATCTGCTGTTGTCTTTGGGGATATAAAAAATGCTCCATTTGGGTGATTTTAATTGCAAAACAATCACTGGACTGCCTAAAATTTGACCTATTCCATCTTAATTGAGGACACTCAGAAGAAAGCTAACTTGCTTACTATAGTTAGGAAGATGTGATTTAATTTCCTAAAACCCAGTTGCCCTACTTCACTTCTTACTACAGTTCCTTCAAGCAGCAAGTAGCATTTATCTACCTACTCATCACTGCTGAATCAAGGCTAGAACCACTTAAGCACAAGGGAAACAGAATATTTAATGAGCTGCAAAGGAATTAGCTTAAGTGCTTCACTGTTGTTCCTAATAGGGTAGGTGAAAATCCATGAGGAATAAAGCATTTATAAACTAGACTTTCAAATTCATTTTAGCAATTTCCTTTGTGACTTTCACAGAACTAGGCCACAGAAAAGCAGCAACGTTTTGCAACTGTTCAGAGTAAACTAGAGCAACCACAGGATTTCAATTTCAGTTCAAAGCTCTCCTATGGAAAAACAGTTAATAACTGCTGTGACATGTAGTGAGTTTTAGGGGTAAAGTGCTGGCTGTGCAGTTCATGGCTGACATTCTACCCTTCTTTCCCATTACAGTTGTTGTGAACCAAATGCACTGCCAACTGTAAAATGGGAATATGCAGCAAAAACACGGTACCCCTCCAAGAAGGCATGGAACGATTTGAACCTTATGCATTTTCCAGTCTCTCCATGGTACACATAACTTCACTTGGCAAACGTACGGTTGACATTAAGACAGTTCTGAACACCACCTCGTGTCAGAAAACGGCCTTTATTTCAAGGACTTCTGTGGTTTTTGAGGAAAAAGAAACACAATAATGCATTTCTTTCAAGTGAAAATATATGTACCATGAACCTCCGCTGGCTGAGACCAAAAATGCACAAAGTTGAAAAAGGCGAGTAACCAACCTTGGCGAAATATCGCATCCTTGCTGCATAAAGGCACCCAGGGAAAACCAGAGACTATTAAATATCCCAAACTCATTAGTTGATTCATTAGTCTGTGTCTCTCTTCCATCTTCAAATTCCTCTGTGTGCCACTCGTACGGACTAAATCTGCTGACCAGGAATAAAACTACACTGACCCCAATGTAGGCAAAAACAATGCACATCCAGATTTCATATGCTAATGGATCAAGAAATGAAAACACTCCTGGCTTGGACTTCTGAGGTTTCTTGATCATTATTGATATCCCCAGGCTCATAAAGGGCTTTGAGAAGTCAATCACCTCTTCTCTCACCAATGTTATAGTTAATGGAGCAATTGCAATATCAGCTTTCTGTAAAGGAAAAAAAAAAAAAAAAAAAGAAAGAAAATAATAGCTAATATAATGATCATAGTTTAGTTTCCATTGATTGCATAAATGAAAACAGGACAGCAGACATGGCTAACAATCTTTTCCCTGAAAATGTCATACTGAAAATTTCAGAAACACATGCAACCAACCATATGGTTGACATATTCTAAGCTTCCCAATTTATGAGAATATGGCCTTTTAAAAGTATATGACATTTAAAAGTGTTAGGAAGGCCTTTTGCCTCGTAAGGAGGGTGAAATACGTACTCATTTCCCTCCCAACTTCATTTACATTTAAAATCCAATTCTGTGCCTTACTTTTTTTTAATTATTATTTTTTTATTCTAAGACAAGTTACTAATTCTTTATCAGAGGAACCAAATAATTTTCCTCTACTTCATGAAAAAAACTAAGCCAAATCCCACAAATCCCAGCATTTTTAAATTGTTTTATTATAATAGATATTCTTACCCCATAAACAAGCTCTCCAACCATCCCATTCCATATTTTCGTGTCTGCATCCCTGGCCCCATACTTGCCATCCCCAACAATTGTGAGCTTATATTTGAATCCACAGTGCTTAGCAATTTCTGTAGCTAGGTCCACGCAATAGCCCTCGTATCGATCATTTCCTTCAAGCATTTCATGATTTTTCTTCATCATAACATATGGGGACTCCTGCACAGAAAGAACTTGCTTTAGCTACAATGTAAAGGTTGTGCATTTCCTAGATTAGCAGATTTCCCTTTTACAAGCCAAAAAAAAGACAGTAATAGCATGTATGATTCAGGTGCCATTATGTCAGCCATACATGATTAATGTGATGCATTCTGTAAAAGGTTTAAATGCTACATTCTTCACAGTCATATACAAATAACAATACTTACAGGCATAGAGATCCCAGCAGTATGTTAATAATGACCATGAACGTTAACAGGAGTTACGCTTTCAGAGAAGAGAGAATCTAAGTTCCAAAATCTGTTTCTTTCTCTCTTACAGTTTGGATAGAAGAAGGCAAAGGCATTTAGTTGCTTTTGTTGTTGTCTTAATAAAATGAAATTATTTCCTATTTCACGGCTATGTTCCTTCCTTGAAACACACTTCTGGCTCTTCAGGCTAGAATTAATATTGAGTTTTTACACAGAAAAAATATATATCTACAGATGTGCAGTAGTTCTATCATCAGCAAAACTACGGGTGGTTTATACGTTACATTAAAAGCAATGCACCTCCTCTCTGCTCAACTGTTATCCAAATATTCTTGCATCCACTGGCATTACATTAGCCTGTGACTTAACCAAATTGATAAAGAAACTTTGCAATACACAAATGTTGCTGTGTAACAACATATAACATTACTTTCCAAACAATTACAATATAACTTTTTTATCTCATACTTTACCAGTCCATACTAGCTAAGATTCTGAAGTGCAAAAATGAGTCTCCTTCCTGTCTGGTAACATTCATTTCCTAATAAGCAATCGATTAATAATTACTATTGTGGCTACATCATTTAAAGCTCTCTTTTTCAGAAGCAGGTATTTCATTCCTGATTTCTGGACTAGAAGAAATAACTTTCTAGGATTTTCTCTTCCCAGTCAATGACAATCTGTCTTCTACAGAAGAAAACAGCATACCAAATTGCATTTCCTTTGTTTCTGGATTTTATTAATGTATCATAATGAGTGACATACCACAACCTCAAAAAATAAACAGGAAATGAACTAATATTAACAGGAGAAACAAATCACTGTAGAATACACTATCTTCTGACAAAATATGAGGTTCATTACCAAAATAGTGGTGACAATAATAGTCTTATTCTCTAGTCCCGAAGATTCATTTCCGAGAGGGCCATCAAGGGGATTCACAACCATTTTGTCCACTTCACTCCAATATCCAATCTAAAGAGAGTTTTTAGGATGCACAGACACTAGTGAATACGAACTTCCACAGAAAAATTTATTATTACCATGCCCAAGATTTATGCTCACAGAGAACTATTTCAGTTACGGATTTATCAGCATAAATATTTCTATTTACAGTTACTATAGCAAATATTAACAAGAATGAGCTAATGATATTAGCTCACATTATTCTGGTTGAAGTATATCATTTTCATTCGCATATCAAGAACCTTTAGAAGCAATGTCATCTGCTGTGAGATTGATTTGTTATCAAATACTCCAGATTAGGAAGACATGATAAAATGGCTTCTCCCAAAGGATTTCGAATTACAACAGAAAGATAATCACATTTAAGCAAACATTACTGAAAAGCAGTATTCTGTATTTGTCATTCAGATGTGTATCTCCCCAATTACTGGCTCACATTCAGTATTTTAGATCAGAAAGTAAGAAGTTTAACCCACAAAGCCGAAAGGAAAATACTGTCATATAGTACTTACCAGAAATAAAAACTCTATTTGTTAGAAAGAAGTAATAGGTGCTTTTACTCTGCTCTGCAAGACCAACATAGAATATATCTCTGAATACACATTATCACAGGTCATGCTTTAACTCATTTGCAGTGTTTCATTACCTACCTTAACCCTCTCTTTAGTGTGATAAAACCTTTAAAGACACTGTAAGACAACTCAAATTACCTTCCGAGGGCCAGTACTTTTGAGTTCCATGACGTTTATCGTAAAATTGATTCTCTTTCCGTTCTGATCAAACTTTATATTCCCTGTTAGACCTTCCACCTGAACCTATACAGACGAAGACGAAAGTGAATTCAATTATGTTCCTTTTAAGAAAAATGAATTTTGTTTCCACAAATAATTATTGATTTATCACAAACATTCAGTTTAGACACTTTCTGTACCCAATGTAACTTAGCAAAGGAACAAATTCCTGATGCGGAGTTAATTTCCTCATTATTCTCAGCAAGATCCAGGCAGGTTAGAAGACTAGAAAGCTCTTTTCAAGCATTTATAGAAGACTTCACACATGCACTCATCTCAGCATTCATTCTAGGGAAGCTACCTGTTTCAATGCCCTTTCTATTTCTACACCATGACCCCAGGGTACAGCTGGATTTGCAAGACAATCTCCAGCATTTCCTCTTCTGGAGATCTCAATCCTCTGTTTACGCAAATTACGGAAAGCTTCTGTCATCACTTGCACAGCATCATAGGTCAGAGCAGATGTATACTGAAAAGGAGTGAAAACATTTCATTAAAAAACAGCTTCAACCTCAGTATAACTTCTAGCATTCTCCATCCATTTGACACGGGAATACATTAAAAATAAAGATGACAGTACGCCGTCCTTTTGTTTTGAGGTCACTGCCATCTGAGGGGCACCTGCACTGATTCACGTACAGTGCTCTCCATAAGAGTGTTGGAAAGATAATGCTGATAAGCCTGAACTGAAAATTTACAGCTGTTTTCATGGCGTGAATTCCATTCATTTCTCATCACAAATGTGTAACACTTCGGTGTCCAGATATGGCTGAAGTTCACAGAGATGAAAAGGGGAAAAAATAACATCCACTATTTAACCTGAGTATGCCTTTAGAAATAAGAATTTTTTTTTTACTCTTGTTACACTCTTCATTGGAGGTGCATTTATATACAGAACTCAAGATACATGTCATCCTACATATAGGCTCACAAAACCAAAGTATATTGGTATATACATGTGTTTAAATTATTGTTACAAAGGATCAGGAGAGAAGTTGTTTGCTGGTAGGCAATATCTAGGCAACCCTTTGAAAAAAATACATTATGGACTGTGGTGTCTGGAGGAAGACATGGCAATTCTCAAAGAATGATAGGCAAGGAAGAGTCCCACGCTCCTAATCTGACAGATATAAGGAGCTTTATACCTTACAACTTTTGAGGTATCACAGAAGAATCTCACCATCATACGTATCAGCAGCTGGGGCTAAATAGTCAAAGGTAGTTATCTGCAGGTACTGGAAAACTCTGCATTGTAACTAACTGAACAAAAATCACATGTGCATACACATAGAGGACTTAGGTAGACGGATTTTATGAGTCCAGAACATTACAGAACATTACAGCTATTCCAAATTTAACACCCATTTTTGGAAATACAGGACAGAATATAAGAACTTACAGCCTTATGAATGAATGCAATGATCCCTATGAAGGCTATTAGATGCTGAAAATACATAAACTCTAAAGCAGTGAGAAATGATGTATTGCCTCTTTGCTTCAATGGCTCAGACTTTAATGAGAATTTTAATTAGCTAGCTCAAGCCATGCAGAAGGCTGTTGTAATTCTAACCAAAGCAGTGCTCTGAATTGAGGTCATTTTTGTATGCAACCACCAGACCTTGGAGAGGAAGAAAAGAAAGGTGGAACTCTTTTTCGGATGCATAAACTTACTGGATGATTAATGTGAATATTCTCAAGAAGGTTCTCACAGCGGTTGGTATGAAAATATTTAAAAGGATCAGAACAACAGGAAAATAAAGTAAAAGACCGGCTGGAATTGACATTATTTTCCACCACTGGAGTTGCAGTGATGAAATGAGAACACGCATTTATAGATGAGAAGGTAACAGAGAGAAGAAAAGATACTGAAACATTTTCATGGGGACTGGATAGCAAGGCTGTTTCAAAAGTAGCTTTTTCATTATAGAAATAGAAATACATACAGAAATACACTGTTGCAGTCTGAGAAAAGCTTAGCATACAGCACTGTCACAAACCACGGATACATTGAGTGGCAGAGGAAATACAGCCTTGAAATTGAGAAGCTGCAATGGCATCTCAGTTATGTTTCTTTCGATAACTGGGATTTTTTAATCCTTTACCTCAGCAATATAATCCTAGTGTTACATAATTAGAGGCCTGAACATCCACAACTCAGTCACATATTCACTTTGTGCAGGGCTTTGCCTATTGATTCACATCTATTCCTGTGTACAACCACATATGAAATTCACATGTGCTTTAGGTTAAATCACGTTTAATCTAGGAATCTCAATATATTTTCCAAACGCTTCACACCCTCACGCTGTAGGGGATGTCACAAAAGCAAACATCCCATTCATAGTTTCTTGCACCAGCTCCTAATAACCTTCATGGAGATTATTACATTCATTCATTAAGGTGTAGATAGTTTTTAACACTGCCAAACTGAAACCTCATGACCAAATAAGAGACCTCGTGACCATAAGCGGGAGGTAACGTACAGATAACATTTGCTCAAGCAAATAGATGAGTGTGCTCGTGTGTCTGTAAGTGTAAAGACAATCGTCATGAGTCAACAGATGCATTAGCACTGTCTTGATTCACTTGGTTATATAAGAGATTCATTCAGGTTCAAATCTGCATCATTAAAATCAAAGGGAGCAAGACCTGGAATATTATTCTCTAGAAGTGGAACGGGCTCTTACAGACTACTACTTTCACAGTGCTCTAAAACTAACTTCATTTCAGTTACTTCCAATTTTAGATGATAAACTGGGTAAAATTTAATAGAAAATGCTATTGATACTATAACACAGTTCCTGCAGAAGTGCCTGTAATTATTACAGCCTTGCAAAGAATAAGCAAGAAGGTGCCCTACATTATCATAATTCTGGAGCTACGATATTAAGGTGAAAATATAAACTTGAATGCTCTGAAGTGCTCAAGGATTTGCTGTCACTTTCTATGAAACATGGACTGCATCGTGACTCTTGCCTACGGATTCCATTAACTCCTTTTGCAGTGACTTCTGCAACTATTAGAGGAGCCCAGGGTAAACAGCTCAGATACAGATGTCTATGCTGTAGACACAGTAAAACAGATGAAAACCTCCCATGGGGACTACAAACTAGCAGTTCAGTCCAAAAGTAACAGAACAGTGATAAAGAAACAAGTAGAGACTGAGCCAGAGACCACTGCACAACACACCAGGGAGACCTCAGCTAGAATGGCTCATACAGCTGAAACAGCATTCAGGAAGGCTGAATTCAGATTAAACAGGTATAGAAGAGGGCTCTTCACCCTACGTCACCAGTAGAGCTAAAGAAAAATACGATCAGAAAGCAGATGTGAGTATTTTCCTCAGCTGGAGGTAAGATTCAAAGAGGTAATAAAGGAAGCACTCCTTGTTGCAAGTGTAAGTGGAGAAAAGCAGATGATCAGTATTTTTTTTTATATTTAAACAATTTTAGCATACTCAAATATAAGCATAATATAAATCAAAGCAACACATACAATAAAGACTCAAAAGTGTGCCTCTGTATTTTGTGGGTATACAAAAGGCTGCCTTACTGCTCTGCACCAGCCTTTTTTTTCCAATGATTCGCTAAACAATTTATCACCTTGTTTGCAATATTTCAGTAAAGTACAGAGGCTAATTTGAACACATTAAGTTGTCACAGACGTTTTCTTCCTTTAATAAGCACATGGATCTTGCAGGAAAAAAAAAAAAACAAAAAAAACAAAAAACAAATTAACACCAATTACTTGCTTATGAGTCCATGGTGCTTGGCAGAAATAATAAAAACAATTATTTGAATTTGAACCTGCAGAATTTATTTATGAAAAACATTACTTCTAATTCATCCCACTGTTTGTGGAAACTAACCACCCTGACGAAGTAATTGTAAAATCTCATCTGTTCATGTAATTTTACCTCCAACCTTAAGACGAAAGTGGCTGCAAAAGACCAATGCAACTGCTATTGATAATTACCTTTAAACAACAAAGAACGCAGTCTTTTTACTCATAGATGTATGATTCCATAAAACTCTTATTTTTCCTTCAAATATAACCACAGAATCACAGACTGGTTTTGGTAGGAAAAGACCTTAAAGGCCACTCAGTCCCACCCCCCTGCCATGGGCAAGCATCCAGCCTTGCCTTGAACATCTCCAGGGATGGGATGTCCACAGCTTCTCTGGGCAAACTACTTTGGTGCCTCACCACCCCCTGAGAAAAAGTTTAATATCTAATCTGAATCCCCTTCTCTTTTAGCTCAAAACCATTCCAGTGTCCTATTTACTATCTGCCCGCGTGAAAAATCAGATTTGAAATGGCTTGAAAGACCTATTATGAATGCTGAAGTGCAAGTACAATAAATTGGAAAATTCAAACTGGCTGCTGCAAACTAAACTAATATGCATATGTAAGAGGCTTCAAATAAGATCAAGAATGAAGCTACGTTGTGTCTTCCTAAAAATGAATCTGAGTGTTCAGAAGCATCTTTAACTAAAGTGCTATTTAGGTCTGTGGGTATTTAAAGGCATTTTGTAAGAGGAAGTCTGGATGCAACAGAACACAATCACCTTCTTAGTCTACAGAAGAATCCTTTTAAAAGCTAAGAACAAATACTAGTGTATTACCTTTTTGTCCACTTTCCATTTACAGCAATGACCTTTTTTTGCCACTCTCAACATAAGAGCAGCTAACCAACCCATGCTGTCCTTTTTCTTCACTGCTTTGCCCTAGAAACACCCTGGAACCTCTTTCAGTTCATATGTTCCGGCACAAGGCACTTCCACTTCAAAAATTAATAATTAAGGTAGTGATAAATCATTAAGTATGTGACTAAAAGAAGATAGACATTTTTAAATGTAAACTGCTACTTATTAAAATATTTACTGAAATATAGTTTTCAACCATTGTTCTTTTATTGATTAAAACAGCCATTCAAGCATTATCATCTACGACAAATACCCCTGGTGAACTGAGCTTTCATCCAAGAAAGTTCCTGAGATGATTATAAAAATGTATCCCACATTACTTTCCAGAAGAAGAAACTCACGGTTGGTGTAATTAATTAAAATTATTTTAATAATTATCATTAGAGATTAGATATTTGGTATCAGCCACTTTATAATACCATGTGAATAGTAAGAATCCAACACTTCCAGCAGGCTCTTCAGCTATGCTATTTTTACTCATAGCCAGTCAAAAGTCCTACACAGATCCAAGGGAATACATGCTAGTAATTATCTCAGAAATTTAACAACACTGCTGTAGCAATGAGCCTAAATTGAAATTTCAAATTCCTTGGATTAATTGGATTTAAATTTTAGACTACTACATAAAGTACATAAGTACATGTAGTACTACTACTACATACTACATTCTAGCCTACTACATAAAGCCACACTAAATCTTTGAGCTTGGTTTTAATGCACTTTGAATCATCATAAATGGAGGGCTATACAAGGCATGGGGACA